ACCATGTCATCAGTGGAGTACCCCAGGGGTTGATACTAGGGCCGATACTGTTTAACATCTCCATTAACGACCTGGATGCTGGGACAGGGTGTATCCTCAGCAAGTTTGCAGATGATATAAAACTGTGAGGAGTGGCCGATGCAGCAGATAGTTGTGCTGCCATTCAGAGAGACCTGGACAGGCTGGAAAGTTGGTCTTAGAGGAAGCTCATGAAGTGGAAATGCATTTGGGGAGGAACGACCCCATGCACCAGTACACACTGGGGGCCAACCATCTGGAAAGCAGCTTTGCAGAAAAGGACCCGAGGATCCTGGTGGACAACAAGCTGAACATAAGCCAGCAGTGTGTCCTTACAGCAAAGGCGGCCAATGGTATTCTGCATTAGGAGTGTTGCCAGCAGGTTGAGGGACGTTAACCTTCTCCGCTACTCAGCACTGGGGAGGTCACACCTGGAGTGCTGGGTACAGTCTGGGCTCCCCAGTACAAGAAAGATAGACTTACTACAACAAATCCAGTGCAGCGCCGCAAAGACAATTAAAGGACTGGAGCATCTTTCATATGTGGAAAGGCTGAGAGAGCTGGGACTGTTTAGCCTGGAGAAGGCTCCAGGAGGATCTTATCATTGTTTATAAATATCTGATAAGGGGGAATGAAGACGGAGACAGACTCTTCTCAGCAGTGTCCAGTGACAGGACAAGAGGCAATGGACACAAACTAAAAAAAAAACCACCAGGAAATTCTATCTGAACATGAGAAAATGTTTCGATTGTGAGGGTGGTTAAACACTGGAATAGATTGCCCAGACCTGTGGAGGTACTCAAAACTTGACTGGACATGGTCTTGGACAACCTACTCTAGCAGAGGGGATTGGGCTGTTTCATCTCCAGAGGTCTCCTCCAACCTAAATGATCCTGTGACTCCGTGAAATAGAAAAGTAAATCTATCCTACTTGCATAGTTCTGTGGATCTGTCCTCCAGCCTATTAGAACAAAAAGCATTCCTTTTGGTTAAAAAAGCTATTTTATCAAACTAGCTAGATCATCGAGGATACTGGACTTCTAACAGTATTGAGATGACTAACTCGTATTTGGTTTGCTCATTTTCACTTATGTTCAGGGAGAAATCCATTACACACTTGCAAGGACTCTGGCCTTAATTTAGAACACCGAATACTGCAATCTTAAGCACCCTCAACTTACATCAAAAAATGTACTATGTAAAGTCTCATTAGCTCCTCATAATGCATGCACTGTAGTGATATGACTAGTTATATTAAAAAGGGAGGTGGCCTGTGAGAATGGGATCTTTTCCATTACCACACACTTGTATGCAGATCTTAATATTACCATTATAACATTGTGTATAAAATAAACTGCCTGTGCAGCTTGGCTTACAATCCGGACTTGATACTGACACTCACAGGCCATGTAAATATTTGTTATCTAGCCAGCCTCATTGAAAGCTCTATGCAGGCATGTCTTTATAAGATTGAGCTTACAGCTTTGAATTTCACTGCACCGCTAGAGACTTTGCTGTATCTTGCCTTTTGCAACTGTGCAAATGGATACTTCCTCTTCTCCTTACTGAAAGACGGGCTAGTGCGCCCATGGCATGATGGGGGAAGAGAAAAGTTCACAAAACAAAAGAAGGTGTTAGAAAACATTACAAGGAAAATACCGGCCTCATTTGCCTAAAAAAACCCAACCAAACAAAAAAA